TGATATAACTATAAAAGCAATGTTCATCTAAGAAATATGTAACATGAAAACACATAAAGGTTATGCCCATTCCTGTTACAATCTGCTTTTAAATTTTTGTATTTTGTTGTTGTTTTGTGACAGGGACTTTCTCTTTAGTCCAGATAGCCTTGCCCAGGCTAGCCTCAAACCCACAGCAAGCCTCCCTTAGCTCCCCAGTGCTGGGATTATAGGAGGCACATATTAAAAATTTTTTTCTAATTAAGTTTGGTAAATTTTAGATATATAGTAACAATCATCATAGATAGTTGTTCTTTAATTTTTAATATAAGCTACACAAAAAACATTAATTTCTTTATATCAGATTATACTAAAAAATATAATCACTGGGTTAAAGGTAATAATCATTGAAATATATACAAATCAGGCTGATAAAATCTTCCATTAACTCTCTTAATACAGAATTGCACTGTAAGGATTCCCAGACTGAGTTATCACAGCCTGAGTTGGTCATACATGTGTGGAGTATAAATGAAAGACTTACTGCTCTTTAAGAAACTCTCAGCATTCAAACCCCTCACTTCTGGACAATGATGCATTTGTACTTCTTAATCACATAATACAATTTAATAAGCATTATCAGCACAGCATCTTGTGTTACACTACTACTAGAAGTGTCTTTAGGAGCCAGGATGATAGCTCAGCGGCACAATGCCTGCCTGGCAAGTGCAAGGTCCTGAGTTCAATTCCTAATACAAAAAAAAAAGTCTTTAAGAGTCATTTTAATCCTAAATCCTAGATATCCTTAGAAAAGTTTAAAGATCCTAGCCTTATCTGGGTATGCCAAGAACTAGCCACTCCTTTATTCTATAAATCGTCAAAGAAGCTAGAAAGGCACAGGAAGGCAGTAGAAACCCAAAATTGTTCTTTACACTAACACTAAAATATCCTGGAATGCAGGAAAGAAACTCTATTTTCCAATGCGAGCTATGATATAAAAATGTTAAAACATGAAGAATACCAATATGTAAATCCTCAACATACATTTTATTTAAAAATTTGCTTGTGTTGTTTTGGAAATTTTGCTGTTAATATTTAGAGTTCTGTTTAACATTCATTTGTTTTGTGAGATATCACCATTCAAGAATTAAGTTTAAAGAGCAAAAGATAAATGAAAACTTCCACTAAAATGCAACAAAAATAACAAGATTGTTTATGACATACTAGGTTTGTAAAATTTCAAACTCTGAAAAAGAAATCTGCAAAGAAAACTAAGTTAATGTTTAACAGAAACAAGGTTTATTTCGCTATTTATTAATTCAGTTAGCTATACAGTGTTATTTATAGAGGCTTCTGACATTTATACTTGAAATCATGAAGCAAATATTGCCTATAAAGAACATTAACTGCTTCCAAAATCTTTAATATGCTTAGTAAGTCAAAATACTGTACAGTATAAAGTAGCTAATCCAACAAAAATATCAATGTCAAGAATTACCTAAGGGTTTGTTCTTTAATTCCGGATTTGAGATCATTTCTACTTGTGCATAGAAGCAATCTAGATCCACATGTACTATGACCCGGGATGAAATGCTTCCTGTTGACACTGCTTGACCGGGAACTGCTATAGCACATTATACAAAGAAACACAAACATAGATTCAGGCAGCTTATCATTTCTGAGCAGCTGATAGTTCTTTATGAAAGTTTGGGAAGGAATCCAAAGTGGTTTCAATTTTTCCCCCACGGTTCTTATGTCAAAGCTTCTAAAGATTGAAAAAATGAAACTACATCTGCATAAGGTCTTCAATCCTGTTTACTTAGCATCTCTTTGCACATTGTATTTTTCTTAGAATAGCTATTTGAGGGTGGAAAAATCTTGATCACTAATGGATATAAATGAATACGACCACTGAGACATTCGTACTGGTACAGCAAATCAGAGAAGGCACGAACGTTGAAACGTTGATTCCCAAAGAAAGTTATTCTCAATGGTCTGCCCCCCCACCACAAAAACCTGAAATACAAATTACGAAAAAAAAATCAACCTGTGGGTAAGTGAAATACATACTTAGTTCCCACATGAAAGCAGATTGTTTTAGTGTTAAATCCCCATGGCCTGGAACACAACTTAGAATATAAGACTATTTATTAATCAACATTAAATTGACAGACCCGGAGCGCAGGCCCGGCAAGTGAGTGAGACGACCCAGGCCGCGGGATCCTGCACAGACCCAGAGCGCAGGCCGGCGAGTGAGTGAGAC